CACGTACGTACGTATATAGTATAGGTAGATTTGTAGACACCTTGTCAAACACAGAGCAGAGATGTCAAGTACCTTGTCATATATATATATATATATATATATATATATAAATGTTTCTAGAAAGAGTATATAAACCAAATTCCAGTGCAGCAAAACAACTTCAAAGAACCTCAATTAATGTACAAACCCTGTCTTGACAATGGCATTGGAGCAGAAATATGTTAAACACTAGATTTGCACACATGCACGCCTTTAATGACTTTAATGCTTAATTAACGCTGTATATGTATTAAACAGTGTACAGGGTTGTATGACCTAAAATTTGTTTTACTAGCCTTCTGCTGTGGGATTTCGGTGTAGATGCATACATGCATGCAATATCGGCTTTCTGCTTTTCGGCCTTCTGAACTCTGGATGCATAAATATGTACAATAGCAAAAAAAATCTTTTCAGTCTTTCTCTGTTTTCTTTTGTACCACACTTTTTTATATCACAGCAAATATCAAGATGAACAGCGTGGGACTTTTACAGTGACAAATAACAACTGAACATTGATCATGATGGTCTTTGATGATTAAGTGCAACTTCATTGCTCTGACTAAACCAACGCAATTGTTTCTCTGTTGTATTTGTGCAAATACATACACGGAGGAATGAAATTCAATGATTGTATAATGACATGGGAATAGGGTCTGGATCAAATAACATTTGTTAATGGGGATATTGGGTACCTTCCTGATTAAAAGGCCAATTACTCCATTAACTATTCATCCTTTTAACTAAATGACTCATGTCAATAAATGGGATGCCTTTAATGCATTTTTGGGCCATTTGGTTGTTTGCTTTTAGTAAAGCACATGCTTGGTTTGGCCCAAATGTGTCAATATGTGCCTAGCTTTGTAAGTGTGTGCCATGTATTTAATATAGCCAAAGGGCTATAGGCTGATTAAATGACTGCTTTGAATTTAAAACAGTGTCCTGTTGCTTTGGGTATAGAAGAAATTCTATCATGTCTTAGTGTGTTAACATCATTCAATTTAATGTATTCAAACTCAGAAAGTCATGGATGGCTAGCCCTCATTTGCAATCATGTGACATGATTTTGTTTTTTCATTTTTACAGGTAAAGGCACCAAACACAGTCTGTTTTCTTTATACTGATAAAATTGTTCCTTCAAAATAAAAGAACAAGTAGACTTGCTGCAGAACCCTTTCTTACTCTTCTAGTAAAATGGACTGTAGTAGATGATGCATTTATTTCCCAAAAATAGAAATTTAAATTCTTTAAGGGCAGTAGCAGAAGGAACGGGGTGGGTAAGGGTGGGGGATGGGGGTGGCTGGGACTTATGCCACAGGGTTTGCAAGACTGTGGTTAGAGGTCAAAAAAAGTGCAAACGGATGACAAGAGTTGTATATGTTCCAAAAATGTCCCCCAAATAAGAAACTTGACAATTTAAGAAATGAAGAGAATAGCAGATAGGGTAGATATGTTCTCATTTATATGTGTGTTTTTAAGCATGTGTTAATATCTTTGTGTTAATTGTTTGTCTGTATTTTCATTTTGATGGAAAGAAATTCTGGTATTTTATGTGCGAGTGTGTGTAAAAAGGAGAGAGACGGAAAGAGAGTGGGTGAAGATCAGCAGAGGAGAAGTAAGGAGAGTCAGAAAGAGAAATGCTTACAAACCCATATTGTAAGTTGGAATTGAATTTATACAGAAGAGCAAAATGCTCACATTTTTTACTGTGTCAACTATTTTGCTCTTTGTGTGTGTGTGTGTTACTGATGGGTGGTCTCGCTCTAGTTGCTTCACTTGAAGTTGCACATTCTCACACGCATGCATGCATGGCTAAACTTTGCTGAGAAGGGAGGCCGTTCCCTAGACTTTATTTTTTCTTTGTAACATGCACATACAAATATATTTGTCAGTGCATAGGTTTAACTGCACACACACACACACACAGTCTCTTGCTCCCTCTTGCCAAATATGTGTATATATGTGTACATGAGTGAGACTCTTATGCATAAACACACACACATACCCATGCACAGGTGTTGTCAGGAACCTACATGAACTCACACAAAAACGCATTCATTCATACATACAAATACTTGCCACATTTACCACCCATACACACACTTGCTCTGAGCTTATCTCAGTGCAGTGTGCAGCGGCTTTTGAAGGCAGTAGGGGAGCCAGTTGTTGACGAGCCACTTAATAATTCCCATGGACAGGCATGAAATTCTTTCCTTTTCTTTCTCTGGCTCTTTTTCTGTCTCCTTTACAGTTGCTCTAATATTCCTCTTCGTGTTATGTTTTATCTGCTAATTTTCACATTCTCTATTTTCTGAAAATTTGTTCTCATTCATTCATTTTTCTGTTTTCTCTATTTTTGCATCTTTTTACTTTTTGTTCTGACAAAATTTCTTTTGAAAAATGTATGGACTATATTTTTGTCAAAAACACAGCGTCCAACAGTGCTGTTTCATATTGCAGATTGCATAATGACCAGGTAAGGGTTTTTTTCTGTTTGAGGTCTTTCTTCCCCATACACGCTCTGAAATGATACCTTCAATCTCTTTCTGTTTCTGGAGAGAGGAAATCCAATGAGTAAGGCTCTTTTTTTGCTGACACATTGTTAAGTTTAGTTTGAGTTTGGTGGTATGTAATGGTGACTATATATGTTATGACATGTCCTTATACTCTCAAAAAGAATGAAAAGCTTTAGCCTTATCCTGCCAATTCTATTTCTTTCAATAGCTTTCATACAGACCAAGAGAAATTTTACAAACCCTTATCACTCCAGTCAGTTTGAGACACTAATAGCAGATGCAGCAGATGCAGCAATAGTTCCCATGTCATAAAAACACATATTCATGAATAGAACAAAGACTATAAGATATTTGCATAATGCAGAGCTAGCTTGGCTCGCCCTCAAACAAAGAATGAGTATTCTCACTTAACTCATAACTTCTGTTTCTGCTAAGCTAAAAATACAGGTGAAAATTCAAACACCTCCACGTACAGTGGAACTGAAGACCCGGTGGATTTGTTTCATTTATGATGGCAATAGGAAAATCCTTAGCATATTGCACAGCCAGTGTGACTAAAATTAGCATGAGATTTAATTGTATAGATACAGGACAGAGGTTTGTCAAAATGTTAATGCTCAGGGAAAATTAAACTCAGGTCAGTTTGATACTGTATGTAACAAAGGTTTAAATCATTTCAAAAATCTTGAAATTTGAAAGTCACTAGTAAAATATAGTTAAATAAAGAGTAAAGCACTTTTCTTTCTCTGAAATTACATAATGCTTTATAAGGTATCAACTACCTAAAATACGCATTAAAATGTCTGTTTGGAAAGACTGGGAGTCAACTTGTGCCAGATTTTCCGTGACTTCTTATTTCTCAAGATGTCCACTTCTTAACTATCCTAGTAAGGTAAACTTTAAAAACATCAAATACTTTTGCAGGATAATGTGAATAACTGGCTTTATTTCTATACCATAGCTGGATATTCGTCTAGAAGATGCACGCACACATAATTGTGACTGTGCCAAATCAAATAACTGTATCATAGCCTTGCTCTAAGTTTAACTGTTTCATCATCATTCAAATGTTGGCAAGTCCCATTTTTGTGCCTATAGTATAAAAAGCAGAGATATAAACGTAGTATATATGGCACTACTGTGGCGAGTGCCTCAGGATACTGCACACATTTTATCATGCAGAAAAACATACAGAAAAACAGACACATTATCTACTGTTCTGGTTATTTTATAAAGCCCATCTGCTGCTTCTTCCACCTCAGGGCAGATAAAGAATATTATTGCTGGTTACCTGTGCGTAAACAGTGTTTTTATTAAATGGGATTGTGTGTGGATCAGAAGTCCTATTCGTGTGTGTGTTTGTGACATCTTATTCTACTTATTTAGTTGCACTTATTTTCGATACAGTACACAGAATTTGCCTCTGAGCTTGAAACTGTTTCTGAGTAATGTTGTTCCTTTATAGTGAATAAAATGGCCTAAACTAAATATCAGAGATTTATTCTCTGTTTCTTCTTCATCTTCTCTGCTGGCATCGTGTATATTGAGCTTAATTACACTGGTGTCAAATTACAGACACATATACATACTTCCCATCCAGACACAGGGGCACAGAACAGTACTCTGTAATCAGGCTCGTATGTGTGTGTGTTGGCGGTGATAAATGCCCCCTTGGAAACTCAATGCCAAATAATCAAGATTGACACTGGCACACAGTGTTCTGAGGTGTGCATGTATGCTGGTTTGTTTGTACTATTTTTATTCAAAGGATTTAATCAAATGTAATCATGCTGATTACAATAATCACAAGGTTTATAATCACCTTTTCCCCTCTCTCTCTCTTCCTTTTAAAAACTCTCCATCGTCTCCACACAGTCGTTCTTCCTCTTTCTCCTCCTGCATCTTTCACCATCATCAGTAAAGTCTTACTTTTCATGTACTTTGAGTATAGCATGTCAAAGTTTGGGTGGGAGTTTAGTCTGAAGCTCTGATAATGCCTGGTGGCTTATTATTAACACCGGCATAAATTTCAGGTTTCCCCACCATATCATCTCAGTTGTCTAATTGAAAGACAGTGCTGTGCTGGGTCTTATCCTGTATATTAAAAGTAAATAAAAATAATATGGAAACACATGCACACATGTTAAATCCACACAGAAAGCCCCAGAGTCGAACCTTGGAGCTTCTTGCTGAGGGCAGTGCTAGCTCTTTCATCTCAAGTTTCAACAAAATTATTTGAGAAAAATGACATTTGACGTAATTTAAAATGTCGAATGATATATATATATATTTATATATATATATACACATATACACACACATACACACACACACATACACACTAAATAATATACTGTTTTGAGTTTTATTCCTGCATGTACCAACCACCAACTATATCGAGCGACATGAACTTCAGGGCTCATGAATTTTTTTTCCTTCCCTCTACAGGACACAGAAATTGTGAATACAGCCATTCTAACCGGTCGACATGTTGCAGTGCCAATCAAAGTGGTTACTGTGGAAAGCGATGGGCAGGTGAGGGAGGTGGACGACTCTATCACCTGCAGCTCAACAGATGTGGATGTGGTTAAGGTAAGCATCCAAAATAAGCACAGTGAAATGCCAATGTGTAAATTATAGAAATAGTTTTATGTAATAAACTTCACAAAAGGTGAGAACCTAAAATACCAATGCATTTTAAGACACAAGGAACCAAGAATTTGTGTATTTGTGTGATATGGAATTGAACAAACACACATCTTGCTACCTAAACTCTAGTATACCAATATACTCATATAAAACAGATAATACACAAGGAAAAAAATCAAACTGTGAGGAGATAGATTTCTTTGCATAAATTATCTCCAATCTATCTTCAATTATGACTGTAATCCAAAGTCTTTGAGGACTCGCGTTGTTCTTTTATAAAAGAGCACTAGTGTGTTCAGGCTTTTCTTTCTTAAATCTTGTTTGATTGAATGGCAGTGATCAGATGCTGATATGGGATTCTTGCACTTATCTGCCTAAAAAATTTTTTTTGGTTTAAAGGACAGTTTAATCATAAAAGGGAGCCGGCTAAACTGATATGAGTTTCCTAGTTAAGCTGCAATTACTAAGCTATGGTTACACATAAGCCGTATCGCAGGGATAAATGGTTTCGTATGGGTTTCTATTTTTTCACCTTCCAGACATCAGGAAAAATGGTTTGCTTGCAGGTCACATACATATAAGTATTCCAGACCTTCACATCTGTTGATTAAAAATTGCCAGGCGGAACATTCTTATAAATAAGGTTTCCCTTCAGATTTGGTGTTATTTACCAAAGCACAATGTAAAAAAAAAAAAAAAAAAAAGTAAAGAAAAAACAAACACACCCATAGTTACTTGTTGGAATATTTCTTCTTTGCTGTTTCTACATTGCTTCGATCTGAACTGTCCTACTTTCAATGGATTAATTAGATTTTTTTTAAACCACTCATTGAATATAATGCATTAGAATCACAATACTTTATTGATCCCTAAGGAAATTATGATGCATCTTGTATAATTACATGTCTATCTTTTGTATGTGCGCAAGGATATAGCATAAGGATATCTTGACCACAAGTAGCACAGTATGACTCACACCCAATTCACTTACTGCATTCAATATTCATGAGACAACTAAAACTTTGATTAAATTACTATAATTTTTTTAAAAGAAATTTAGGCGGTTCTATAAGCACAAAACCCTATTTTTATATTATATAGACTTTGTATTCAATTTCAATTAATTTCAGTTTTATTCATATAGCACCAAGTCACAACAACAGTGACCTTGGGTGGCTTTATATTGTAAGGTAAAGACCCTACAGTTTCTGTCACACGTATCATGCTTTTTCTTGACTCTGTAATAATTTAATACTTTCTGAGTAATGCCTTCCACAACAGGGTACAGGTAATCTGGAGCAGCTGTTAGAATGATACTATGACCGGTGTCTGTCTATGGCAATCTTAAGCTGAATCCCGTTCCATTACACTTGGAATTGAACCTGGGATGGAAGGGCCAGCTTAAGCCTTAAGTGGCTTTTCCATACAAGCTGGATACACAACCACCACACTAATTAATAAACAAGTATTTCCTTTACAAAAACAAGCCAGTACCAAGGAATAAGGATTGATTCCTCTGGCACTACACTCCCTGTGCCCTCGGGGCCTAAAATGAAACACATCCTCGCTGTGACAGTTTCAATATGAAGCCAATTTCCTGGTACAAGCCGACAGGAGTGGTGCTGTTTAACTACAATCAATAACAACACAGGGAAAATGGAAAGTACTCATTCAAATAGATGTAATGTTAGTGTTTTGCTATATGTGTGTGGTGGGTAGGTATACCACATCTAGATGTTTACAGACAACCGTATAGTACAAGCACAAATAAATATTTAAACAGCTATTACTGAGAAAGAAACACAGCTCTGTGTGTGTGTAAAAAAAAAAACAAAACAGACTGCTGTCCTACCTTGGTGTAGTTTCAGCTGGGGTCAAAGGGTTATCACTACAGCTTGAACACAGAAGGTCAAACTTCAAGGTCAAAATTAGTTTAATAATACTGTAAGTAACCATTTTACAAGGTCTTATTACAGGGCTTACTAGGACCAGCTAAGTCATAAACCAGCATCTAACCACACATGAAAACACAATATTTTGTTTTTATACTCCTACTTTGGTGTGAATAACACTATCTACCTAACGGCAGGTAAGGACTGTTACCTTTGAACAGAGCTGTGTTAGTTGTTTGTGTTTCCTGTAAACAAACAGCAAAGCAGAGGCTCATCTGTCCCACTATCAGAGAGAAATAAAGAATGTTTCAGAAAATGTTGATCATCAAGGCATTTCTCACCCACATTCAATGGAACCTTCAAAATTAGATAGTTTTCTCTATCATTTATGATTTATCTTGAAATAAAGCCGATGGCCATGGCAGCTTTTGAAATGGGGCACAGTGCATTAGCAATTGAAGCAATGCTCGTCATAGCACTCTGGGAGTTGCCGCACACATACTGTATGATGCACACTTCTGGTGAAGCTTTTAAAATTCTTTTATAGGTTTGAAGCTTCTGCAGTAATAAATGTCAGTGTAGCACTACATCAAATTTCTCTACTTTAACTTTATTCTTGATTTAGAAGAATAATAAAGTATAAATTCTTAAGGGAGAAAATGTTTCTGTGGGGGTTTTTTGTCTTAGTTGGAGGCAATAAGCTCAGAAAGATTAGATTTCCATTTGGTTTTACATCAGATTCTATTAACTTACCTTTTTGTATAATTACTTATTGTAGATAAATGTTTGCAGGGGGAATTGCACAGCACCCTTTACTGATTACCTGAATATATGGAAATGAATGTATGGGAATTACTTGGTGAACATATTCCTGGCTGCAGTGTAATGCTGTTTCCTTGAATTTAATGCATTTATCTTTGATAACAATAAAAAAAAAAAAACCTGTGATGTACTACCTCGATAGTTTCCCTCCTCTTCAACCCTCGCTTTCCTTTCCTGCATTCTCTTTCAGTGTAAACTATCTTGTTAAGGTATCTTCAGATGCCGTTACTTGTGATGTGTGTACGTGTATGAGTTGCTGTTGTTGATACAGCAGTATGTGTAGGTTGGTGGTGTCAAAGCTAGTAGGGGACAAATAGGGGACAAGCGCACGCATACACACAAATTAGTCCCATTATCCTGACCTCACGCAAAACAAGGAGGGGAAAGGAGGAAAGATGGGATGAAGAGTGGTGAGAAGATGACAAATGGATCAATGAGGAGAGGAAAGGAGAGTAGAGAAAGAACATGAATGTAGAGACTGCAAAGAAGGAAAGATGTTAGTAATGCAGAGGAAAGGAGAGAAGAAAATGATAGCAATGAGTGGAAAAAGAAAGAGGTTTACTGATTTAAAACTTAAAAATGCAGAAACATTTATATCCATAAGAACAACTGACTGCTAAATCAGGATCTGCCAGTTATGCGAGCCAACTAAAAGCTCTAAAACCTGTTCTTTATATGATTAAAGCTTACACTATTTCCAGAGATAACATCATGGTGACAGACTAACTTAAAATGAATTTGTTACACTTACATGTTTTGTCTTAGAAACGAGAATAAAGTAGCCTGTAATAAAATAAAAGCAAGACACATCCTAATTGGGCATTTAGTACAAGTAGAGAGGCAGAAGCAGAAGAAAACTATCAGACTTCCTTCCTGTATCCTTCCTATACTTCTCCTTGTTTTATATTCAGGTGCAGTGATAGCATTTAAGCTCACCTCCTTAAAAATTGTCCTTCTCTCTCTATTTTAAATTTGATGTGCACATCCATTGACAAGAATAGCTTTATGACCTTCAGAAAACGGTATCTGATTGATGCCTGGTTTCTCTAAGCTGTAATGAAGGACTTCAACTACAGGTTCCACTATACATAAAAAACAGTAACACTTCACAGTAGTGCCATAAATACTACGTTTATATCTCTGCTTTTTATACTATAGTCACAAAAACGGGACTTGCCAACATTTGAATGATGATGAAACAGTTAAACTTAGAGCAAGGCTATGATACAGTTATTTGATTTGTACCTCACCATAGTGAAGTAATAAAATAAACAATAAGCCAGAGTGCAAAAGAAGACCAAAGTTGCAGATAAACCCTTACATTATGCAACAATTTTATATCGAGGTATTAAGTGTCAGAAACCTCAGAACTACCTACTAACTGCAATGTGATGTGATCTACGATCTAAGAGTGAATGTAAATGTGAAATGACCACTATTTTTGTTTCAAATGTTATATGCAGAAAAAGTGTGTCAGAAATCTTTTAATGGCCTTGCAAAACTGTACATACAGCACTCTTCCACAGACAGATGAATATATATGTATATGTATATGTGTGCACACATGTGGGATGACGCAGATACGTGTCAAAGTGTCCAGCTGGTTTATTAAACAGCACACAGATCAATTCTTAATTTGCTTTGTATCCATACTAATACATACACCAACACACACACCCTAAATCTCCCTAAAACATGCGTGCAGATATACGCACAAACACACACAGACAAACACACACACCTCCATCACTTCAGAGATTTGTCTTCAATCTCCACACAAACTAAATATTGTTCAAACCCACTGAGTTTGTCTGTGAGATTATTTCTGTGTGGACTGTTTGGGTTTTTTCCCCTTATTTATATATTTTTGTTTTGTTTTTTATGCAACATGCATATTCGTTCCTCAAATTATAATGTCGTATTAAAGGCACATAGGTTGTTGGTGCCTTGGAGCACTGTTCACGTTAATAGTTGATCAAATTAAACCTGTACACTGAAAAATGACGCTTTAGTCACTGCAGGCATGGCCGGTGTTCCACATTAACTGGTGTTTGATTGATTAGTGATGGTGAAAACAATGTGTTGTAGGAGTAGCTTTGCAGAAGTTGCTACTGACAGATGGGGAAATCAACATTGTGAATGTTGCATCTTTAAAATGCATTTCTTTATTTCTTTTTTTTTTTTTTTAAACATGACAAAACTGTTATTGCATTGATCAAAAACAAAAAA